GAACCCTTGGCTTGGTGTTGCCCGCACCGCGCTCAGCCAGTGAGCGCACTGGCCATCCCTATATGGGATCCGAACCCGTGGCCTCAGCAGTCCCAGCGTCGCACTCTCCCGAGTGAGCCACAGGGTCGGCCCTTGGTTGTCTGTCTCTTTGTTGATCTTCCTGTCTCCTTCTCCATACTATCTTCTTGTCAGAGTGCCTCAGGAACATAAAACATTACTTCCAGATGGATACAGAATGTGGGAAGAGAATTGTATTCATTTGTACATTTATTACACATCTGAAATGCTAGGAAAGAGAAGAGTCCAAGGTAGCCTTTGTAAACCGAAAAAATGTCCATCTAATTTTTTTTTTTTTTTTTTTAATGATAATACTTAATGCTGGCAGAGTCATGGTTAGAAGGAATTCTCAGTGTTGGGAATGCAATTCAGTAGAATCTTTCTGAAAAGCTATTTGGCAGGATATATCAAGACCCTTAAAAGAAACTCCTAGCCTTTGGCCCACTAATTTTACTTCCAGGAATTTATGCTAAGGAAACAATTGGAGATGCAGGCAATGATCCTCTACAGGGATGTGAGTTTAAGCACTATTTATAATAGCTAAAGGGAGATAGTAATCTGAATGTACACAGTCAGAGAATGGTTACATAAATCAGGGTATACCATACAATAGAGTACGCTGTAGCCATTTTAAAAATATGAAATCAAAGGCTCTTTAATGACATCAGAAAATGCCTTATTATTTTAAATGGAAAAAAAAAAGGCTATTAACTATGTATGTAGTATTATCCTCCCCAAAAGTGAGGAAGAATATGCGAAGGTGTTAACTGTGATTATTAGTGGTAAAATTATATATACTTTTATTGCTTTTCTTCTTGCTGTTTTGTATTTTTCAATTTTCTACAAGGCCGTCAGTAATTTTGATTATCAGAATTTCAAAAAGATGAACTTTCTTCTTAATGGTCAGTCTACTCCTCCAGTAAGGGAGCCTCTCACCTTATACCAGCTCTACTGCTGTGGTGTGGAGGTCAGAGAGGGTCTTCCATGAGCATCATCAGATTGGAAGCCTGACTGAGCAGCCCTGTGCACAGTCCGGCAGGCACTCCCTGGCTAGTACAACAGACGTTTCCATCATTCAAGTGAGTCACCACCAAAGGGTGTCAAGCTGATGATATTGCTACATAGTATACTTGAACTATCAACAACCCAGCATGCTGCCAAGCCTTTTAGCCTTATCTTCCTAAACCGTTATTCTTTGACTGTCCAGTGAATGTCAAAGGGACTGGCTGGGACAGTCTAACTCCTTTTCGAGGACACAGTGGGCCAGTAAACTAAAGCTGATGCAAGCCTTCCAACTGAATCCAAACCAGACTAGCAAACGTTCCTTCCATATTAAAGTTTAAGCTGTTCTTGTTGCTGCCACAGTTGGGATTTAATGTGGGGGCCTGGTGGGACCCCAGGAATATTTAGGGTGAAAAATATGCTGGGGTATTCATCTTAGATACTCCCAGCTGGACTCTGAAGGTTGTAGAGAACCTTTAGGGGGCATCTGCTAAAATTGTAGTTATAAAACTATTTCCTCCTGTCTTAACCTCAATCATTTGTTATTCTTGGCCTCATTAGTGGGGGAAAAGAGGCTGAGAATTCTATATTGGAGGTCTCAGAGCCAAGAGTGAAATTGACCATTGTTTCGTTTGTCTGTTTTGTTTTCTGGGGGGGAATGGGAGTGAGATTTTTTTTTTTTTTTTTTTTTTTTTGTCTTCTGTTGCCATTTTTAAGTACCTATAGCCAGGTACTGCTGTAGTAAAAAAGAGAATTTGAGACAATTTAAAGAGTCTTGAACCATTGTCATCATCCCTGTGCATCTTATATCCCCCACGTATGTTCTCTTGAGGAGTATGTGTATGCGTACAGGCCTTCTGCTGCAGGCGTCATTCTGGTATATAAAAGTGTTGATGATGAGGTTTATTGATGTGGCACCTGAAGCTCAAATAAACCAAAGACGTAATTCCTTTAGTAGTTTAAAAAATCATGGAAGTACTATGGAGTGTGCATGTTATTGTTATACTAACTAAAATATAATGGCAATAAACTTTAAATTGTGGTCATTTTATATAAAATAAATGTTATTGCTATGACTAAAACACAAATGAAATTCTGTTCACTGTTAGAAACTGCAGTCGATTCTATGGCAATTAACATAGGCATTGAAGAGCTGTGAATACTCTGCATTCCAGTCACACCCCCAGACAATTTCAGCCATGTACTACTGGCCAGGTACCACTTAGATATCCAAAGATGTGAAAACATATTCAAAACCTACATTGTGTTCATAGAATGTGTTTCTAGCCATGCCTTTAGCCAAAGGCACAATTCTTGGTACAGATGGAATAGGAAGCTGGTGGTATTTCCTACTTATAAAAGTCATTTAAAAAAAAAAAAGTTGGAAGGACTTTTTAATTGTCCTGTGGTAATCAGTGACCAAAGGAACAGAGGAGTCGGCCTGAGCTGTTCTCTTGAATGTCCAGTTTGCCCCTGGTCAGACTCAGGTTCCTGGGCTGGGCTACAGTTCAGAAGTCATTGCCAGGTATTGTGTGCTAGGTCATTATCTAGTGGGGCAGGGTTGTAGTGAGAGAACTGAAAAAGCAAGGCCTCTCTCACCAGCAGCAGCTGTGGAAGACACTGAGGACAGCAGTAGAACTGAGGCAGCACTTATCCCAGGACGCAAGACAAGGTCACGTGGGAGCCAGTATTAAACTAATAATAGAGTAACTGATCCCTCAGCTGGTGAATCTTACTGTCTTATATTACAGTTGTTTTTAATCTGTCCCATCTTGTCAAATACATTTTAAGCTCTCAAAGTCAGGGAACTTGGCAAATTCTACTTATTGTCTTGATCACACTAGGTCCCCAGTGACTAGTCTTTGCTGAATTGAGAAAAAAAAAAGTCATACTCTTTGAATTTAATTTCTTCTCTTATATGAATTCCATCTGCTATCTGAATCTACAGCCAGAAGACTGGAGGCTGGATTGGGGGTTTTGTTGGAATTTACAATATGTTGAGTCTTATTGAGTCTGTCTGTTGCTGTATTCCCATTTTCCCTTGCAAATGTGGTAGGCATCTAAAGGAAACTTGTAAATCAGAGGTTAAGATTTCTAATGGTATGGCTGGGTCTGTAAAAAAGCTTGGCACAGTCTAGAGAAACAGAGCGAGTCCTGCTATCCCAGAGGCAGTTCACTGGTGGCAAGAGCCCTGGCCTTGGAGTCAGGGAATTTGAGTTTGAACCTCGGCCCAGGGAGTTTGAACCTCGGCCCTGTCACCTGAGACTGAGTATCTTCAGGCAAGCCTCAGCTTAGCCTATGTTTTCACATGTGTGAAATGGAAATTATAATAATGCCTGTTTCAGGGCTTATTGGATAGGTTAAATGAGATTAATTTACTCACTCAATTTATTGAATACCTACAGGCACTATTTTAGATATTGGAGATACAGCAGTAAACAGACAAAAATGTTTACCCTCACGAAATTTATATTCTGGAAATATAATATATATAATGGCATTTCATAAGTGTTTAATCAGATTAGTCTGAAGATATCTGATGAGCTCACACAATGGGTTTTTACTGTTCATTGCCATAGGTCTTTGTGTTATGACAGTGGGTAAATAGGGCCATTATTGTGTCTCATGTCTGAATTGGCATAACCCTAGGGAAGTCCCATTAAGTAGGGCATTTATGTGTTCTTGCTAAATCCCAGTATTCTTAGAAAGTCTTTTCCCCTTGAATTGGATTCCTGTCATTTTCACCTCCATAAAGTGCTTGGTCCAAACAGTCCAGCAGTTGGCTGATACTCAGAGGCTGTCAGTGGTGGTGTGGATGGATGGTTTTCACATTTTCTCAGTTGTCATTGTTTGCACTATCTGTGACTTAATGTGATTTCACAGAGTTGATAGGTGTTTGTGTAACTTGTGGAAATGAGTCAAAATGCCAGCATAACCAATTAAAATCCACAAAGCATATTTTAGTGAGTAATTTCAACGTGACTTAATGTGATTTCACAGAGTTGATAGGTGTTTGTGTAACTTGTGGAAATAAGTCAAAATGCCAGCATAACCAATTAAAATCCACAAAGCATATTTTAGTGAGTAATTTCAACTTTTTCTCTCTAAACTTTTGATCAGCCATCCATTGTAGAACGTGGACAAAGTTAAAGTTTCAGTTTACTTCTTTCATTGCCTTTTTTTCTCTGCAGTGTTTTCTTTGAGCATCAAAATACCCAAAATCCATGAAAGGAGAAAGGGTAGGCCTGGACAGCACACCTCAGAGGAGCTGAATGCTGCTGATATCGCACACCGTCTCCTGAGAGGTGTGTGTCCATGCCGCCTCCATCCGCTATCGTTTTGCTAACACAGAACTGCAGATCCCTAGTGGCACACAGCCCATTTAGTTAAAAATGTAAACAGGAAATCGTTTTCTGGCTGAATGGCCTGTGGCCCAGAAAAATGGTTATTTCTGCTGAGACTTAACTTTAAAAACACTCCCACCACAGTGGAAGCTGAAGGCTCGTTGTGAGCTCGCCCTGCCTCAGAACAAGGCTGGTGGAAGGAGTGGGTGTAGGGACTCATGTACATTTGTCACCAATGGCCAAAGGTACAGCAGACATGATTGAAGACGCTCCTATCACCCAGAAAGCAGTTGTCCTGCAAGGATGGAGACCTGTTGACACTCCGAGGAATCACAGAACAGGTGTTACTTGGAAAACGCAGAGGTTTGGTCTGGAGAGATGTGACGCGGCACTGGCACACGTCCCTGGGTCTCAGTGCTCCTCTGGTCTGCTCCAGCTCCGTGTCATTTGCCTCCCATGACCTCCTGTGCTCCCATTGTGGTTTCCCTATGTGCTGATGAGTTTTCTGGTTGTTATGTCTTACAGCCCCCCGAATCCAAGCCCAACTTCACCCCTCTCGCCATCTTGGCCCATGTTTTCAGCGCCATCCAGCCCTATGCCCACCTCATCCACGTCCAGCGACTCATCCCCCGTCAGGTCTGTTGCAGGGTTTGTTTGGTTTTCTGTTGCTGCTGTTGTTCTCTCATTGGCTTGGTCCTCTCTTCATGCAGTGTTCAGCCTCCTCGTCAACTTTGTTCCCTGCCATCCAAACCTGCACTTGCTTTTTGACAGGCCAGAAGAAGCAGTTCATGAAGACTCCAGGTAAAATCACGGATGATGACCAATCTGTTCCCGTTTATCCAAAGCTGATCAGGGACATTGGGGGCCACTTCTGCTCTCCTGTGGTTCCATCCTAAGAGACCAAAACCAGGAGGGACCATTTGCATGAAGCAGCATGGCATTTTTCACACCCTTTTAAACCCTAACTCAAGTTTCTAACTAACCTCTGATGCCTGGAATTTGGGGAAAGAATACCTCCTGAATAAGGCTCCTGCTTTGAAGGCTCTCTGATTTGGACTCTCTGCTTTGGTATAAGATAATATAAGAGGGAACAGTGTTGAGACACATAGTGGCCTTTTCTTCTCTCATTTTTATCAAGCAGCATCAGGCAGTGTTTTTTTGTGGGGTCGGGCTACCAGCCACAAGCCCTGGGACCTAGCCACTGAGACCAGATCCAGTGGGTGAAAGACTAGTATAACACAGAGTAAAAAATCGAGATATGAAACGATTTCTCTTTAAATTGCTCATGTCTTTTACCTCCTTGCCCTCCATATACTCCAGGAATCTTCTGTACTCCCAACCTGCTTCTATCTCTGTGTGTCATGAACCCTGAGCTCTCATGGGAACAGGCACCACCCCTTTCTGAGGGTGAGCAGCTTGACCTAGTTCCTCTCCCCAAGGGCCATGCTGCAGTTTGTCTTGTTTTCATGACTTCTAGACTTAAGTGCCACAATTCTTTGCTCTTGAGCTCTTTGGAGCAAAGAAGTTCTTTAAATCCAGGAAAAGAATTAATGAAGATCCTGCAGAATCCCTCTGCTGTGTAGGTTCTAAGCATGGGTATCTCTCAAACTTAGTCTCTGCTTTCAGACAACCAAAATTAGAGCCCAGTGATAAGCATCATAAGCATTTTGGGCTTTGCCAGTATTTTCTTGTCCGTCTTTTTTCCTAAGGGGTGGGTCCAGCAGAGAGGCTTAAATATTTTATAAAGCTGAGTCTCACTTTTAAAAAAAGAAAACCCCATGCTGTTTATATATTCAGATACGTATACTACTTTATTCCCCTCCAGGTACTTTCACATCATTTCATTCTATCGTCATGTGAGAATGAGAAGAGAAATGGCCCAAGCACTATTCTAGAAAAAGAAAACTAAGGCACAGCAAGGTGACTTAGACACAGTCATGTGACTGAGAGCCAATCCCGAATTCAGGACTTCTCCCCCTCAGCCCAGCATTCTTTCCTCCAAACATACGGGTAACCCCAACTTTAAGTTTCCATGCAGCTCCCAGCCCTAGAGCCTGGCCTGCTCTTCTAGCTTTGATACAGCTTTCTGCCTAGTTTTGTCCTGGATAATGAGAAAGATAGCTTTTCAGTGTATTATTTTTTCCTCTCCCTGTAAATAAAGTAAAAATTCAGACC